CATTAGAGCCCTGTGAACTCCCTGGAGCCTCGTGCTAGGACAGCTCCAAGAGGGGAGGAAACCAGACTGAGCTGATGAGGGGGCAGTTAGATATCTTGCCTCTGATAACCAGCGGGGCCAGTCCTACAGAGCTGTTCACTAAGTCAGGGACTCTAAGCTGGAACTGCCTCAGGCGAACAGGCATGCACAGGGTGGGTCAGTAAGAGTGAGAACTATGGCTGAACAGGCGTGAGTCAATGGGAAGGTGGCACAGAGGGGGCAATGGGGCGTCCTGATGACCCAGAGCCCTAACCTGGCACCTGCCACTCTCACCCTGACCTAGGGTGAATCCACTGGGCCGGTGCACAGATTGAAAGCGGGCAGCCAAAGGACATTGCTTTCCAGAACAGTTTAGGTCAGCCAGTTGATAAAAACCCTGGGGCTGGATGTCCTCCTCCTGTCAGTGGCCAACAGTCAGAGCCTTGGTCAAGGAACAAATCCTCCACAAGTGGCCACAATAGACTCCACAATTAACCCCTCGCATCAGATGTACCTTCCAAGTGTGGTGGAAGATCAAGAGACCACACATGAGAGGAACCCTGGGCAACATAGGAAAAATACATCAGCTGATCCAGATGGGTAAGGTTCAGTGAAAGAATTCTGGAACTTCGAAGTATCAAACTAAAAACACTCCCCCAAAGAGATACACTAGCTCTCAAGAAATGGAGACTGACCACACCCAAAACACTAAAATGACAGAAGTATTCCAAAATTGGATTGTAAGAAAGCTCTATGATATGCAAGAAAAAAATGGATAACCAACACAAAGAAACCACAAAGAAAATTCAGGAATTGGAACAAAAATTCACTAAGGAAATTGAGATCTTAAAGAAAAATCAATCCGAACTCCTAGAAATGAAGAATTTCTTAAGGTAAATAAAAAATACAGTGGAAAGCCTCAAAAATAGGGTGGACCAAACAGAAGAAAGAATCTCAGAGACTGAAGATAACACCTTCAAATTAAATAAGTTAATCACTGAGATAGAGCAGAAAAATAGGAGACATGAACAAAGCTTATGAGAATTGTGGGATTATATGAAGAAAAATAACCTGCAGCTCCACTGGATTCTGGAGAAACAGAAGAAAACACCCAAGGGTTGGATACATTATTTGAAGAAATAATTGAGGAAAATTTCCCAGGTCTGGTCAATAACTAAGAATTAGAAATACAAGAGGTCCAAAGTACTCCTGAGAGATACAATGCAAACATAAAAACATCACGACACATAGTCATCAGACTGACCAAAATATCAACAAAAAGGAACCTCCTAGAAGTTGTAAGGTAAAAAAAGCAAGTTATATATACAAAGGAAAACCAATGCGAATAACGCCAGATTTCTCAACTGAAACATTAAAAGCAAGGAGAGACTGGGGCCCCATTCTCACTCTTTTGACACAAAATAATGCCCACCCTAGAATCTTGTACCCTGCAAAACTAAACTTTATATATAAAGGAGAAATTAAGACATTCTCCTATATATCTGAGGGAATTTATCAAGATAAGACCAGCCCTACAAGAAGTACTCAAAACAGTGTTACACATGGAACAGCAAAATAAATACTCACAAACATAAAAAAAAAACAAATATAAAGATTAAAGGTCAGATATTACAGTGGCTCAAGAGAGAAAACAAAGCAACAGTACTGAACTCAAAAGAATGAACAGTAATCTGCATCACCTGTCAGTTCTCTCAATAAATGTGAATGGATTAAACTCCCCACTCAAGAGACATAGGCTGGATGAATGGATAAGAAAATACAAGCAAGTATCTGCTGTCTTCAGGAAACACATCTAAACTGCAAGGATGCATATAGACTAAAAGTAAAGGGTTTAAGATCAGTATTTCAAGAAAGTGGAAGCCAAAAGAAGGCTGGAATGGCAGTTATGATCTCAGATCATTTAGTTTTTAAACCAACAAAAGCAGTGAAAGACAAAGAGGGTCATTATATAATGGTGAGGGGTACGGTTCAATAAGAAGATATAACAATTTTAAATATATGTGCATACAAATTAGGTACACCCAGATTCATAAAGCAAACCTTACTGGATCTAAGTAAATTGATAAAGAGCACCCCCATAATAACCAGAGATTTCAACACCCCACTGACTGTACAGGATGGATCCTCCAAACAGAAAATTAATAAAGAAATAATGGACTTAAACAAAACTCTAGAACAATTGGGTCTGATTGACATTTACAGGACATTCTACCCAAAATACACTGAATATACTTTCTTCTCATCAGCTCATGGGACATTCTCTAAGGCTTACCATACCATAGGACACAAAGAAAGTCCCAAAAAATTAAAAAAAATAGAAATCGTACCATGTATCATCTCAGATCACAGTGGAATAAAAGTAAAAATCAACCCTAACGGAAACTCACATTTCTACACAAAAATGTGGAAATTAAACACCCTTCTACTAAACGATTATTTCATAAATGAAGAAATCAAGATAGAAATATAAAAATTATTTGAACATAATGACAACAGAGAGACAAGTTATTAAATCCTCTGGGACACAGCTAAGGCAGTACTGAGAGGAAAGTTTATTTCCATAAATGCCTATAAGCAAAAGTCAAAAAGATCACAAATAGACAATCTAATGAATCCACTCAAAGAGCTAGAAAAAGAAGAATAGAACAACCCCAAGCCCAGCAGAAGAAGGGAAATTAACAAGATCGAATCAGAACTAAATGAAATTGACAACAGGGAAGCTATACAGAAGATTAATGAAACAAAAAGTTGGTTCTTCAAAAAAATAAACAAAATTGACATACTTTTAGCTAGACTAATGAAAAGCAGAAAAGAGAAATCTCTAATAACCTCCATCAGGAACAAAAAAAGGAGATATCATAACTGATCCCAAGGAAATACAACATATAATTTACGAATACTACAAAAACCTTTATGCACACAAACTGGAAAATGTGGAGGAAATGGACACATTTCTAGAAACACACAGCCTCCCTAGACTCAACCAGGAAGAAACAGAATTCCTGAACAGACCAATATCAAGAGCTGAAATAGAAACAGCAATTAAAAATCTTCCTAAAAACAAAAGTCCCAGCCCAGATGGTTTGACACCCAAATTTTACCACACCTCCAAAGAAGAATTGGTAGCTATACTGCAGAAATTATTCCACAACATCAAGAAGAATGGGAACCTCCCCAACACCTTTTATGAAGTGAACATAACCCTGATACCAAAACCAGGAAAGGATGCAACAAAAAAAGAAAACTACGGACCAATATCCCTTATGAATATAGATGCAAAACTTTTCAACAAAATCCTAGCTAACCAAATCCAGATGCTTATCAAGAAAATAATCCATCACGACCAAGTGGGCTTCATCCCGGGGATGCAGTAATGGTGCAACACATGCAAATCTATAAATGTAATTCACCACATAAACAGAAGCAAAAACAAAGTCTTTCAATAGATGCAGAAAAAGCTTTTGACAAAATTCAACACCCTTTCATGATATGAAAACTTAATAAAATAAGCATAGAAGGGACATACCTAAAAATGATAAAAGCTATATATGACAGACCCATAGCCAACATCATACTGAATGGAGAAAAATTGAAAGCATTCCCACTTGGAACTGGATCCAGGCAAGGTTGTCCACTATCTCCACTTCTATTCAACATAGTGCTGGAAGTCCTGGCTATAGCAATCAGACTGAAAGAGGAGTTAAAGGTACCCAAATTGGGGCAGAAGAGATCAAACTTTCACTGTTTGCTGATGATATAATATTATATTTAGAAAACCCCAAGTTCAACCAAGAGACTCCTGTAATTGATAAAAAATAGATATTAAAAAGAAAAAAAAAGATCCAAACACAATCCTTTCATTTCTTTAATATTTAAAAGGTTTATTTATTCTGATAATGATCAAGATATTACACTTACTTCGAAATATACTCTACAGATTGGCTAATGTTCTTGAGATAATTAGCATTTTTTATCATTAGCATGTATAATAACTATGAGAAGTTACTTTTGCCTTTAAAATTTATTATAATTTAAATCATAGCTTAAAAGCTTCAGGGCATAGAAAGCTATATGCTGATAATCTTTGGATTTTTCATTTTAAAACTTCAGATTTAAAAATTACTAGTTTAAGAAATTATTATTCAAGCCTTGATTATTTTTTCCCTAAATTAAATAAGGTCAGTTACTCTGAAACTGCCTTAATTTGGCAGTCACTAGCCACATGGCTATTAAAATGTACACAGTTCCATTCACATGACATATATTTGTAAATTACACACCATATTTTGAAGACTCAGTAAGAAAATAGGACATAAAATATCTCACTAATATTTTTACATTGGTTAGATGTTGAATGGATATTTTGGATATAGTAGATGAAATAACATATTAAAATTAATTTTACTTTTTTAGTTTTTAATGTAGCTACTAGAAAGTTTAAAATTACATATCTGGCTCACATTATATTAGACTATTATATATTGGACATTATCTTGCACCTATTGGACTGCTCTAAGACATCAATAATAAATGTCTAGGTGCTACTGATAAATAGTCCATATATATTCTTTAAGAATATCATTATAAAAATTACCTACACACTCATTTATTTCTGTGCTAAACAGAAAAATTTCTGTATAAAAATACACTACATGTAGACAAAAACTTTAGTTGCCTTTAAATATGTATTGTTACATTTTTGGTGTTGGTTAATACAGAAACTAGTTTATACTCCCCACACATATATACACAGACAAGAAAGAACGGTGGCCCAGAAAAATGGCAGAAACAAAAGTCAGTCTTTGCCTTGATCAATCCACACACAGATATTGACTTAATTAAAAACAAATACTGACATATGACACCATCAGATATTTGGCAAAGAAACATCAGGCTATAACTTAAAGATTTTAGCAATTTCACATGAATGCAACAGAACAAAGCATATTTACAATTTATACCTTCGCTCCATCTGAAATATTGTCCCAATTTCCACCACTCAAAGAGAACTTTCCATTGCCTATACGCAGCAGTATCTCTTCAGGAGTATCATTGGGGCCATTAGCAAATGGAGTATAGCTATTAATAAAATAGATTTTTAACAGATATGAGAGGCTAACATACATATAATTAAAAGTGATGAATATAAGACTACATGAAACATTCACTACAGCAAATTAAGAATAGCATCTAACATTTCCCCTCATTGTTAATAGCAAATTTTATATTTCAAACGATGAATTTAATCTTAACAAATTATTTGATAAAATGGAAAATCTTGCCTACATCAATTCTTTCTTTTGTCTTTGATCCATGTAAAATAAAATAAAGGTGGGTTTTCATGTAAAGCTACAGTCTTAGAACCAGTCCAGAATAAAACATACAAATTTTATATTGTCCTACACATAAGTTAGCAAATAAATATAACTACTAAGGAGAAAATGTTAATTTTATATATTTATAATGTATTTATTGTATTGGTTTGATTTATTCATTAATATTTTATGAATAGTATCAGTATAAACAGGTTAATAATACTTTTAATTAATATCTATGAAAGTGGGTTGGTTAAATATGTATATTAAAAAATTCCATAGCCACTGAAATTATATAGATTAACATTCATGGCTGAGAAGATGAATACATAAAGTTAAACAGTTTTTAAAAATTAATTATAGAAAGACAAAAAATATTCATTTTTGTACCATTTTTAACAGATGGAACTGAAAGTGCTATTCAAATTTGGGAATGAGAAGACTGATTATGGTTAAAAGTATGAGGAACATATCTTAATGTGTTAATGTCTTAATCTCCTTATGTAACAATTAAAGTGAAATAACACTAAACACACATTTATACATATATAATCACTTTTTGTTTCATCATAAAGTAAATATTTGAAAGTAACAAGGGAAATCGTATCCCATGGTTTAAAACCAATAATGTTAATTGCACTTGGAATGCAAACTTTAGCTACCATTAATTTCAGCACTTGCTGTGGTCTATAACTAAATATTCTGCATACGTTTGTATTATCTAAAAGTGCATGAACTATACTGACATATGTAATTATCACCAAGCCAATAAATAATTTAGAGTCACCATTTTTATAACATAAAGCTTTTGGTATGCCAAACATACTAAAATTATACTAAATGCGCTCTTTAAAACATTACACCTGGGTACATTATAAATACTTGCTAAACCTGGCCTTTTTCTCTATTACAATTCTCTTAGAATAATGTCTACAGTCATAAGTTTTCACTTCTAAATATAATAAAAGTGCTACTCATTACTAAGACTAAGATAGTACTTGTATTATTTGTAAATTACCAACATTAACAAAGTCTAATTGTTATTACATTTGGAGCTTTTCTTTATCCTTTTAAGGGACAGCAGCTGTGTGAGTTTCTGCAGTTTATCATTGTTATTACTCATATTTGTACAATCTTACTAAATCTCTATTCCCAAGAGAGCCAGCATTCAAGTACTTTAAAAAAAAATTAACTCAATATCAACGAATTCAGTGAGCAAGTTCCTGGTGAAACATGCAATTATTTTATGACTGAGTAAACATTTTCTAGAAATAATGCACTCAATGTAAAAAATCAAAATAAAAATGCATGCTTTAGTTTTAAAGTTTTAGTTCTAGTTGAAAACAGCCTTTTAATTACTATATCTTAAAAGTGCCTCATTATGTATCTTACTTTATGTTTTTTTATAAGTAAAAATATATATTTTAAAATGTTAGCAAAGCATTTCTCTTCAAGTTATTTTAATCTGTCCACTTTCTAGATGAAGGTATACAGGTGAAATTCAAATAACGATATGAACACGTTTATAAGCTTCTTACCCAGCCAACATTGTGTAAAAAAGGACTCCTAAACTCCAAATATCACAAGCAGCATCATATCCCTGTTGCATAAGAACCTAAGAAAGAAACAGTCATTATGTGGTATTACTCAATATAAAATCAATTTTCTCATGTAAAAGAAAGTTGTTTTGCTTCTAATAATTTAACAAATGTTCACAATATAACAACTAACATTATTTTATTTACTTAATGTTAAAAGTAAAGCCTTCTGCAATTAGCAAGCATTGAATAAATTGGTATTATTATGAGGTGATTAACTTGAGCCATGCCAAAAAACAACCTTGTAAGACATGATCTCTGACCTCAATGCATCTTTCATTCCTTCTCTTAGGAAACCAGCTATACAGATATGTACAGAGAGCTTAATATATACTATAAACAGTAATAAGGCTTTCAATTCTGACACTGACTCTGTAAGGTAGAGATTATTATTCTAATTTTGAAGATGATAAAACTGACATGAATGTTAAGTAACTGGCCCAACATCACAAAACTAGTAATAGAGCAGGCATTTTTACTCTAGAGGCCATATTTTGAATATTTATGATAATTGCCTCCTTACTACAAAAGAGATAGTAAGATAATATATGATTTTACCAAAGCAGTATGAATTTATATTTTACATACAAGGCTGATGTCCTGAAAAGAGCAGTGTATTTTTGGACCACAGACACATATTTCATAAATTCTAAATGACTCCATTAATTTTTCATACAATAATTTAGGTAGCTGTTTTTAGTTCTTGAGGCCAGTCTTAATAAAAATCAAATGATATAATTTTATTATATATTCACATAATATTATGAAGTTAATAGTTTGTTAGAAAAATAAAGAGATGAAATGAGGCCTTTTGTCATTTAGAAAAACAAGCCAACTGCTAAAGCCTCTAGGCATAGAAACAAAATAGAAACATTATTAATGTCTTAACACTGGGGAACTGCATAATCACCAGCATAGACTGTTCATCTGTAAAAGGCCCAAAATATTAATGTTTGGCTTTGACAATTGTCAGGCATAAATAATGAATCTGTAACTAAAGATTTGAGATATGATGCTTTTTCCTAATCAAAGTGTATTTATAAAAACACCATGTGCACAAGATTGAGAAGCTAAAGAGGATATCAAATACATATATTCATTAGTGGTCCCTAACATTTTTTTTACCATGGATCAGTTTCATGGAAGATAATTTTTCCACATACTGGGGGCGGGGGATGGTTTTAGGATGATTAAAGTGCATTGTAATTATTGTGCAGTCAAACCTCACCTATCTGCTAATGATAATGTGTATTTTCTGCTGCTTCCCAGCGCTAGCATCAGCACCTCAGCTCCACCTCAGATCATCAGGCATTAGATTCTCTTAAGGAGTGTGCAACCTAGATCCCTCACATGCACAGTTTACAATACAGTTTGTGCTCCTATGAGAATCTAATGCCACTGCTGATCTGACAGGAGATGGAGCTTATGTAGTGACATGAGCAACGGTGAGCGACTGTAAATACAGATGAAGCTTTGCTTACTTGCCTGCCACTAACATCCTGCTGTGTGGCCCAGTTTCTAAAAGGCCACAGACCACTATAGGTCTGTGGCCCAGGGACTAGGGAGCACAGATATATATAATTGGCTTATGTAAATAATACCAGTAGAGACTACAAAAGGACCTAATAAATAACAAAGTACAGCTAAAGCAAAACTGTACTGTAAAGTAATACTGTAGTAAAACACAAACTTCTACTATTTTATTCCCCTATCCTTTTCTCATCACCTCTTACACTTCTGGGCATCACCATGTTTTCTCTGGTTCCCTTAGTAAGCATTTATTATTATTATTATTTCAGGGTACTATGAGGGTACAAACATTTTGGTTACATTTTATGTCTTTGCCTCACCCAAGCAAGGATTAGAGGCATGCCCTTCCCCTCTACAATGCTCACCATGTCCTTTAGTTGTGAGTTTACCCCCACAACCCCCTAATCCCTGGAGAATATTACTACCATGTGAGCACCATAGTGTTAATCAGTCAGTGCCAATTTGATGATGAGTACAAGTGGAGCCTATTCTTCCGATCTTGTGATACCTCACTTCGGATAATGGGACTCAAATTCAATCCAGGAAAATATAAGAGGTGCTAGATCACTGTCGTTTCTTATAATTGATTAATATCCCATTGTATACATATACCAAATTTTAATAATCCACTCATGAATTGACAGGTACTTGGATTGTTTCCACATCCTTGCAATAGTGAATTATGCTGCCATAAACATTCAGGTAAAGATGTCTTTTTTATAGAATATCTTTTGTTCTTTAGGGTAAATGCCTAATAGTGCTAAAGCTGGATTGAATGGTATTTCTATTTTTAGCTCATTGAGGTATCTCCAAATTCTCTTCCACAGAGGTTACACTAATTTGTCTCACCAGCAGTGTAAGAGTGTTCCTGTCTCTCCACATACTTGCCAGCATTCGTTGTGGGATTTTTTGATAGAGGCCAATCTCACTGGGGTTAGGTGATATTTCATTGTGGTTTTGATTTGCATTTCTCTAATAATTAGAGAATGTTGAACATTTTTTATATGTTTGCTGGCCATTATTCTGTCTTATTTTGAAAAGTTTCTGTTCATTTCCTTTGCCCATTTATTGATGGGGTTGTTAGATTTTTTTCTTGTCGATTTTTTAAAGTTCTAGATAGATTCTTGTTATCAGCCCTTTATTGGATATGTAGAGAGAAAATATTTTCTCCCATTCTGTAGGTTGTCTGTTTGCTCTCATGATAGTTTCCTTAGCTGTGCAGAAGCTTTTTAATTTGATTAGGTCCCATTTATTTATTTTTGTTGCTGCAGTGATTGCTTTAGGGGTCCTTTTTCAAAAATTCTTTGCCTAGGCTGATGTCTGAAAGGGTCTTCCCAGTATCTTCTAGAATTCTTAAGGTTTCATGCCTTAGGTATGTCTGTTGTCCATCTTGAATTGATTTTTGTGAGAGGTGAGAGGTGGGGGTTCAGGTTCATTCTTCTGCATGTAGCTATCCAGTTTTCCCAGCACCATTTATGGAAAAGAGATTATTTTCCCTAGTGTGTATTTTTGTCTGCTTTGTCAGAGATTAGGTTACCATATGCAGATGGTTTTATCTCTGGATTCTCAGTCTTGTTCCAAAGGTCTATGTCTCTGTTCTTGTGTCATTGTCATGCTGTTTTAGTTATTATAGCCTTGTAGTACAGCTTGAAGTCTGGTAAACTGATATCTCTCAGCTTGTTCTTTTTACTTAAGACTGCTTTGGCTATACGAGTCAGCTGTAGATATTTTATATCCCCATAATCTTCCTAGTTATGAGAAGGACAAAGTTTCACAGGAAGTATTACATTGCTTATATGGTTGACCGTGAAAAAAATTGTTTTAGATTTACCACATACTTAAACATATTTTGTATGGGTGAAGAAGAGGCAGTCCACTTTTGTTATAGATCTAGTCTCAACACCCTATAATATGAGAACAGTTGTCGGAATTTTCCTAACACAAAGTAGTGAAAAATTGTTGAGGTGATGGATATCTCAATTGCTCTGATTTGATTATTATGCACTGTATGCTTGTATCCAAATATCACATGTGCCCCATTAATATGTACAATATGTATCCATAATAATTAAAAAAAAACATCAAAAATATAAAAATGGGAGTGGGTTAGTTATCACAAGAGTAGAATTGCTATAAAAGTGAGTCTGGCCTCGTCTTGTTCTCTTGTGTACTCTCTCTTGCCATGTGATGCTTTTTACAATGGGATGATGTAGCAACAAGGCCCTCACCAGACATGGTCACTTGATCTGACCTTGGATTTCCCAGCCTCCAGAACCATGAGCCAAATAAATTTCTATTGTTTATAAATTATTTAAAATTAAAAAAATAAAGAAATAAGTCAGGGTGGTGGGATGAGTGAAAGAGCACAGAGGGAATGGTTCACACCTTTTTACTTGCATCACGTTAAATACAAAGATAGAGGTCATAATTAAAGTAGTCAATACCATAATATCTTTTTCATTTGGCTCCCCAAATCAGCAGAAAGTAACATACACAGAGATTCTCATTCTCTTTGCTCAAAAGTTCAAATTAATTCATATTACTTGTGGCAAAATATATGATAGACCACAGCAAGAGCAAAGAAAGGTAACTTCAAAATCACTTTATCAAGAGCTGCAGACAAAACATCCTTTAACTTTACTATAAACTCCACTAATTCAGAAACATTCTTAGAATTAAGTAGGTACTAAATATCTATTGAATAATAAAACAATGGTACAATGGAATACTACTCAATTATAAAAAAAGATAGTGATCTAGCACCTCTTATATTTTCCTGGATGGAGCTTCAGCCCATCCTCCGAAGTGAGGTATCACAAGAATGGAAGAATAGGCACCACATGTACTCGCCATCAAATTGGCCCTGATTGATCAATACTAAGGTGCTCACACAGTAGTAATATTCGTTAAGGGTAGGGGATTGGGCGTGGGTAAACTTACAACTAACGGATGCAGTGAGAGATGTGGGGTGGGGGAGACCACGTCTCAAATCATGGTGGGGATGTGGCAAAGTCATAACATGTAACTAAAATGCTTAAACTCCCATAATTTTCTGAAATAAAAAAAATAAAAATAACAATAAAATTGCCTTTATAAAAAATAAAACATTTTAGAGATATAGTACCTTTTACAACACACGTATAGTAGAAAAACACATCTACTAAGTAAACCTTAATAGGTTGATTGAACTGATGCATATCCTAAAAAGTGAATGAATATTCTCTCCTTATTGCTAAGCTAAAATTTCAATAATCTGTTGATCTTTTAAATCACCAACCTTACTTTCACTACTATGAAGTTGATACTGTCAAAGTGCCCATTCCCATGGTCAGAACTGACTGCTGTAGCTTCCCAGATGTGAAATCTGTACCTCTGAGCCCCTCCGTCTCACCTTTCCTGGCTCTTCCTCCTAAGATATATGTATAAATATTATTTGCCAAGGAAAGTCCCTAATGCTGATAAAAAAAGAAAAGAAAAATCAGTGAGGGTATTTTCTCCAGTAATTAGAAGATCCTAAAAACAACAGGGGATGGCACTGCCCCATATGTTGTTATGTTTAATGCTAACTGATATAAATTATCTCCTGTTCAGCACAAACTAAAACATCTGATACTCTATCCTAGCTTTGTTATTAAGTGAATGCTGAGTCTTGAATAAGCCATTTAAGTAATTTGAACCTTAGTTTCCTCCTACAGAATATGTAATATATTGAAGTTGTGGCTGTCTTTACCCTACTTTCCAGTTCTAAAATGGTCATGTTCTCTAAATAACTCAATAGAAAAATAATAGTCTGATTATTACATTCAGGCTGGTTTTAGATGCCAGTTACTAGTCTGCATATTTATATTAGGTGTTACTAGAATTCACTGATTTAAAGAGCTTTATAGTTGGGAAAGGACAAGATAACTCAGCTTTTACCTACCTACTATAACATATACATGGTATCATATACATTCAACTAAAGGAAAAGACTGAAAGAAAATATTGACGTTTTAAAGAATACCTCAGGTGCTACAAAGTTTGCAGTATAACATGGAGTTAAGAGAAGTCCATTTTCTCCTCGAAGTTGTTTTGCGAACCCAAAGTCACAGATCCTAATTGAATCTGCATTGGCCAATTCATCCATATATAAAATATTACTAGGTTTAAGATCACGATGAACAACCTTGAACATAAAAGAAAAAAAAACATTAAATTTCCATAACTAAATATTTACAAAATAAAACATTTTAAATATATTTTCCAGAAAAGAAACTTTCCTAATAAGATTTTGAAAATTACATTTTATCCAATCTTAACAGCCAAAAATGTACACAGGAAATTACCTCTATCAGATTGACACTCTAATTTCTATTAAGATACCAGTTTTATTAACCACTTCCAATCTCAAAAGTCTCCAAACTCAATTCTCAGATCCACTTTTGGATATAATAGACTAAGACTCTACCCAATACCCACTTCCCTGCAGCAAACAATTATAAAACCTGGATATATAATTTAAAAAATCAACTACCTGAAGGTACTGGAGAATGAACAGAAGCAGAGAGACTCTGGTGAGAAGTACATATTTGGTTGAAAGAGGGAATACAGGGAGCTATACAAGTAGGTTCCCATATATGTGGCTTTTGGCCTGAGGTTAAGTGCATTTCCTATGGTACACAGTGGTGGTAAAGACACTTGTGGAAAAACCCAGAGTTTTTCTGGCCTGGAGGACCACAAAAGAGATACTGCAAAATTGTGAATGATGAATGGGTGAAAAATATTGCAAAGGAAAGAGCCAGAACTGATCCTTGTATCAAAAATGTGTGGAAAAGGGTCAAAACAGTTCATATAAAGACAAATGATATGAACAATGATCAGAGCTCTGCCCCCAAAAAGAATCAAGCCAAGAAAATTAGCAACTTAAACAAAACAAACAATAACCATTGGAGAAAATTAACAGAATGCAAAAATCTCCATAATTTACTATTATAATGTTAAAAATGTAATCCAAAATTATCTGATATACAAACAGCCAAGAAAACAGAAGTCTAAAAAAATCAATAAATTCTGACTCTAAGATGAACCATGCTGGAACTAACAGACAAGGATTTTAAAGTAGCTATTACAACTATCCCCAATAAAGTAAAACCAAACATGCTTTCACTGCACAACATTCTCAGCAAAATTGGGAAGTCTCAGCAAAAAATAGAAATAATGAAAAATAACCAAATGAGGCTGGGTGTGGTGGTGGATCACGCCTGTAATCCTAGCACTTTGGGAGGCTAAGGCAGGAGGATCACTTGAGGCCAGGAGTTTGAGACCAGCCTGAGCAATATAGTAAGGCCCCATCTCTACAAAAGATAGAAAATTAGCTGGGCATGATGGCACGCCTGTAGTCCCAGCTACTGGAGAGACTGATGTAGGAGGATAGCTTGACCCAGGAGTTTGAGCTTGCCACTGAACTGCAGCCCAGGCAACAGAGCAAGATTTTGTCTCAAAAAAAGAAAAGAAAAGAAAAGAAAAAAAGATGTAGAACCAGAAAAAATTCTGAAATTCCCTATGTGATGATTTTCCTGCTACAACTACCCACTTCATTTAATTTAGCCTTACCTTTAATCAGAGTTTACTACTCTGAAAACACTTTAAGGACAAGAACCAAGTCTTACTCATATTTGATTCTGTAACACCTTTTACAATGGTTGGCATGTAGAAATGCTCAATATATGACTGCTATTAATTAATTGATGTAAGAACTGGAAGATTTATAAAATAATATAGAAGATATGCTTATTACTTTCCTCCTTTCAAAAATTTTGGTCTTGCTTTACTTTACAGAGTGTTGCTAGAGACAACCAAGAAATTAAATTATAATAGAACTACTCCTTTAGCACTACATAATTCATTTCAAAATACTGAAAATGTACTCCATGAAACCACACACAAAACTGAATACCAGCTGATTTTTATTAATTATAAAAGAGGCCCATGTAGACTTTTCTGTTTCAATTCTGAATTGTCATTTTTTAATTGTTTACTGTTAAGTGGGCACTATCCACTATTATGACTGATTCAAATTTTAAAATTTTTAAATTATTTGCTACATTGTTTCCTTTTACAACTATATATAATAAAAGTTTACTTTTTTATTTCACCATATTACAGGGGTACAAATGTTTATGTTACATATATTGCTTTTGCCATACTTTAGTCAGAACTTAAAGCATGTCCATCTCCCAGACGATGTGTACCACACCTACTAGGTGTCAATATACCCATCCTCTTCTCCCCATTCCCACCTGCCCGACACTTGATGAATGTTACTACTATATGTGCACATAATACCAATATGATGGTAAGGACATATGGTGCTTGTTTTTCCATTCTTGTGACACTTCACTTAGTAGAATGGGCTCCAGCTCTGTCTAGAATATACAAAAGGTGCTATGTCACCATTGATTTTTGTGGCTGAGTAGAACTCCATAGTGTAGGTGTATGTATGTGTATGTGTATATGTGTGTGTGCATATCACATTTTACTAATCCACTCATGTTGATGGGCTCTTGGGTTGTTTCCACATCTTTACAACTGTGAATTGTGGCGCTATAATCATTCTAATGCAGATATCTTTTTTATAGAATGCTTTTTTTTTTCCTTTGGGTAGATGCCCAGTAACAGGATTGCTCAATCAAATGGCAGTTCTACTTTTCTCTCTTTCAGGTATCTCCATGTTACTTTCCACAAAGGTTGTATTCATTTGCAGTCCCACCAGCAGTGTATGAGCATTTCCGTCCCTCCACATCCACACCAACATTTATTATTTTGGGACTTTTTGGTAAAAGCCATTCTCACTGGAGTAAAGTGATATCTCATTGTGGTTTTGATTTGCATTTTCCTGATGATTACAGATATTAAGCATGTTTTCATATGTTTGTTGGCCATTAGTCTGTCTTCTTTTGAAACGTGGAGGAAATGGACAAATTCTTAGAAACAAACACACAGTCTTCCTAGGCACAATCAGGAAGAAACTGAATTCCTAAACAGACCAATATCAAGGACTGAAATTGGGGCAGCAATAAAAATTCTCCCTAAAAAGAAAAGTCCCAGGCCAGATGGCCTCACACTCAAATTTTACCAGACGTAAAAGAGGAATTGGTGCCTATCCTGAGAAATCCTCCACAACATTGAGAAGGAAGGGATCTTTCCCAACAGGTTTTATGAAGCCAATATCACCCTGATATACCCAAACCAGGAAAATATGCAACAAAAAAGAAAACTACAGACCAGTATCTCTTATGAATATAGGTGCAGAAATTCTCAACAAAATCCTAGCAAACCGAATTCAGGTGCTTATCAAAAAATAATCCATCACGACCAAGGGGCTTCATCCCAGAGATGCAAGGATGGTTCAACATATACAAACTGTAAATGTAATTCAATACATAAATAGAAGTAAAGATAAAGACCATATGATCCTCTCAATAGACTCAGAAAAAGCATTTAACAAATTTCAACAACCTTTTATGATAAGTACGCTAAACAAAATAGGCACAGAAAGAAGTTACCCAATAATGATACAAGGCACATATGACCAACCCACAGCCAACATCATACTGAACTGGGAAAAACTGAAAGCATTCTAGAACTGGAACCAGAAAAGGTTGCCCTCTATCACCACTTCTATTTAACATAGCGCTGGAAGTCCTAGACAGAGCAATCAAACAAGAGAAGGAAATCAAGGACATCCAAATGGGGGCAGAAGAGGTCAAACTATCACTCTTTGCTGAAAGTATGATCTTATATCTAGAAAATGCCAAAGATTCCTCTATGAGACTACTGGAATTGATAAGCAAATTCAACAAATCTCAGATTACAAAATCAATGTACAGAAATCAGTAGCATTCCTATATACCAACAACAGTCAAACTGAGAACCAAACCAAAGACTCAATACCCTTCACAATAACAACAAAGAAAATAAAATACCTGGGAATATATTTAACTAAGGAGGTGAAAGACCTTTACAGGGAGAACCATAAAACACTGAGGAAGGGAATAGCAGAAAACGCAAACTGGTGAGAAATCATATCCTGCTCATTGGTCGGCAGAGTCAACATTGTTTAAATGTCTATACTACTCAAAGTGATCTACAGATTCAAAGCAATCCCTATTAAATTACCAACATCATTTTTCTCAGACCTAGAAAAAATAATTCTACGTTTTGTATGGAAGCAGAGAAGACCCAATATAGCAAAAGCAGTCTTATCAAAAAGAACAAATTGGGAGGCATCTATTTTCCAGACTTTATATTATACTACAAGGCTACGGTAACTCAAAGAGCATTAAATTGGCATAAGAACAGAGACAGACCAATGGAACAGAACAGAGAACCCAGATATAAAACCATCCTCATATATATAGCCATCTAATCTTTGACAAAGTAGACAAAGACATACACTGAGGAAAAGAATTCTTATTCAGTAAATGGTGCTGGTAAATTGGATAGCCACATGTGGAAGATTGAAATAGGATCCACTCCTCTCACCTCTCACAAGAAACAACTCATGGTGGATAACAGACTTAAACTTAAGGCGTGAAGTCATAAGAATTCTAGAAGAAAATGTTGGAAAAACTCTCACAGACATTGGCCTAGGCATAGAATTTATGAAGAAGACCCCAAAGGCAATCACAGCAACAACAAAAATAAATAAATGAGACCCGATCAAATTAAAAAGCACAGCCAAGGAAACTATCAAAAGAGCAACAGACAACCTATAGAATGGGAGGAAATACTTGCATGGTGCACATCAGATAAAGGGCTGACAACTGTAATCTATATAGAACTCAGGAAAATCAGCAAGAAAAAAATCAAACAACCCCATTACAAAGTGGGGAAAGGACATGAACAGAAAAGTTGACTTGTATATAACTCGATTTATTTGCCTTCTTTATCAAGAGACAGGAAGCAAAATAACAAGCCTGCCTCTCCACAATAAAATTTAATGTATTAATACATCAAATGCTTAGAATATAAATTTCTTATTGTATTTAGGGGAAGAGTTGGCAAGGATCAGGATATACAGTTCCGCTTCTGGCAGAATTTTATATGTTAGGTATTGTACAATTTGAATAATATTCACAATATCTTTGGTTAATTCTTTATGTCTCACTTTTAAGTTTCATTAAGTTTAATAATTTCAAAGTCAAGGTTAGTTACATTTATAAAATTCACATAAGTTTTAATATTTATATGCTATAAAATCAGGGCCAACAGGCAGAAAGAGGAGAATTAATAAAGCATTAGCCAATTTCCTAAATCCATAACCTTTGCTACATTATGAGTTTTATTAGGATAGTTTCTGTAAAAATTTATGTGACAGAGAAAGAAGTTCATTTTAGGTACCATCATGTCCTATATATAATTTTATAAAGATGTAGGTCCCAGAATTACAAGGAACAATATAACTACAACTTACTCCTTGACAATGAAGATAGTCAACTGTCTTAGTTACTACATACAACACATCACTAGCCTCCCGTTCTGAGAAACATTTTTGTTTGAGAATACGATCAAGTAGTTCTCCTCCTTTCATCAAATCTGTAACAAGGTAAATGTATCTACCGTCATCAAAGACCTAAAAAAAGAATGCAGATTTAAAATGTTATTATTTATAATTATAATTCTAAAATGTTTAAATTGTATTTGCTTTTCTACTAAATCTCTAGTATTAAAAAAAAGACATTAATCCTTTATGGTTAACATAGTACAGGATGTACTGAAGGTTGAGTCAGCTAAACAACCTCCTACACAGTCCTGTGAGACCATGTTAAACATATAATTTTATTAACTTTTCAAGTTGTAGGTTACAGGTCACCAAAGAATGTAAATGAAAAAAAAACAGCACTCTGTGCCTCTTAAATGATATATATCTAATTTTTTACTGCACAATAGCTACTTCTCTAACAGTAAGCTTCCAAGAGTAAATATATTATTTGTTTTTATACCCTCAGTCCATTATCTTAAATAGTGTCTTAAATGTTTGTTGAATTAAAATAGTATATACAGGAGAATAAATAAAAAATATGTATACCCTTTTCACTCAGGGCATGTGAGATATACATTATATATACAAATCTAAACTATTGTTTAAAGATTACAAATCAAAATGCATATCATATCATCTGAAAAAAACTGATCAAGATGATGACTGATTTTTCTGCCTTCTCTAAAGAGAAAAGAACATTATCTTCTTATGTGAAAAGTCAGCATCCATGTACATCTATTACTAGGAATTATATATTCATTTTATAAAAATGATAGACTAATATCATTTAACTCAAAGAATAATCCCTAATATTATAGTCAACTACTGTACAGTAAAGAAAGTAAAATCTTCAAGAATCTGGCAGATTCCTAATCTCCTGTATCTTCTATATTTATAGTACTACAGAATAATAAATGGTAAATGATGCTAGTTACAATGTTAACCAGCCAGTCAGAATATATTAAACTAATCAGGACACTCTTATTTAGCAACCATCCTAGTTCATTTTTGATATTCTGTAAGAAGAGTGTAGAATCATAAGAAAAAACTATGAAAGTGGCAAATATAAGGATTTTGGAATTTTGTGGCATGAATTAAATATATCAGATACACAAAATTTCAATAAGAAAGATAAAGTTCCAGGTCATAACTTCATCAGCTTAGCTGACACCTTGATTTTAAAATACCTACATCTTTTAAAGTGATAATATTGGGGTGTTGTCCATAGCGCATCAAAATTTCAATTTCTTCTGAGGGGTCACGCTTACTTTTGTCAATGATCTAAGAAATAACAGAAAAATCTCAGAGGAAAATAAATTACTTTGTCTAAAAATAAATGAAATATTTTCAATTTGGTTACATTTTTAAACAAATACTTCTTTTAACATTTAAAAATTTTCTATAACTAAAACTTAATAGAAAAAAAAATAAGCCAATGTACTTTCTTTAACATTATATCCCATTTCACTGAAACTATACTAAATGATAATGTGATTCAAATGTGATTGTAATTATCACAATTGTTCAATCTTCACATACTAGATTAAAATAAAATTATTCAAATACAAAAAGTCATTAAATATGTGATTCCTCTAAAATAAAGCCTTTAAAAAACTCAAAGTGAAAATATTAAGTCTTAGAGCTCTCTCTCATCATCTTTCTTATCTTCATTTGTTCCACTGACAATGTCTGTCACTGAACTTATAATTTAAATTACATGCATAAAATAAACAAAAGTCACCCTCAGAGACAATACCTTCACAGCAAATTCCATGTTGGTAGTTGCATGTATGCATCGCTTGCAAACAGAATAGGAGCCAACGCCAATATCCTCTTTCAATTCATATACTTCACTAAATTGTGCTGCATTTCCATTTATCTGTTTTTTTAAAAAAGTAAAATACTAAGGAGAATGAAACATTTTCACATTTTCTCTTTTGTCCTAAATATACATTCCTCTTAAATCTTAAAAGAAATCAAGAATAACTCATTTTAGAGAAGTTTTATCAATATTTATAAATGGCTTAAACATATTCTGAACCAATCCTAAATTGTAGGCTTTCTGCATCCCCAAGGCCAATACAATAAATCAATTAGCTTATACATCTCATTTACATTTTCTTCACAACAGACCACATAATGTATTTAAAGGTCACTACTGTCTGATCTTTTCCAAATTATATAGAGACATCTTTAACTCATGATTATGCCAAGAGACAAAAAAAAAAGGAGTTAAAAATCACTTTTTAAAAAACTATTAAAAATCCAGTGGCTGGGTACAGCGGCTCACACCTGTAATCCCAGCACTTTGGGAGGCCAAGGTGGGAGGATCACTTGAGGTCAAGAGTTTGAGAACAGCCTAGGCAACATAGTGAGACCTCATCTATACAAAAATAATAATAATAATAATAATTAGCCAGACGTGGTGGCATGTGGCCACAGTCCCAGCTACTGGTGAGGCTGAGGCAGGAGGATCACTTGAGCCCAGGAGTTTCACTCTAGCCCAGGTTACAAAGTGAGATCCTGTCTCTAAAAAATAAAGAAAATGGCCGGGCGCTGTGGCTCACGCCTGTAATCCTAGCTCTTGGGAGGCCGAGGCGGGCGGATTGCTCAAGGTCAGGAGTTCAAAACCAGCCTGAGCAAGAGCGAGACCCCGTCTCTACTATAAATAGAAAGAAATCAATTGGCCAACTGATATATATATAAAAAATTAGCCGGGCATGGTGGCGCATGCCTGTAGTCCCAGCTACTCAGGAGGCTGAGGCAGAAGGATCACTCGAGCCCAGGAGTTTGAGGTTGCTGTGAGCTAGGCTGACGCCATGGCACTCACTCTAGCCTGGACAACAAAGTGAGACTCTGTCTCAAAAAAAAAAAAAAAATAAAAAAATACAAAATAAAGAAAATGAAAATCCATTAGCAATAACTAATAGAAATAATTATCCCCAAAGTGATATATCTCTAAACAGAATAATGTGATTAAGTGGAATTTACCTGAACAATTGGTAATACATTTGCACTTGTGATAGGAGTGATTTTATATTCTTCTGCAATAGAAGCTGCAACAAAGCTGAATCCTTTGAAGAGTTGATGAGCATTTGCACTGGCTGGCAAACCAGGAGAATCTAATGTTCAAATAATTAAATTTAATTAGAACTACACAGAATTCTATGATATAAGATGTCATAATTTTTTAAATATAAAGAAAACCATTAAATGTCACCATCTGACATATTATATGTTTGATTTATTATATATTTTCTGTCTCCCACCACTCATATATATGTTTCATGTAGTCAGTAATTTTTATCTGTTCTGTTCATTGCTGTATCCTCATTGCTTACTATGGAGTAGGCATTCAATATTTGTCGAATACATGCACAAAACAGATGACACTAAAAGTAAACCACATTAAATTCTAAACTGTAAGAGTCAGAGTAATATATTTCATCTTCAATCTCTTATCCCCTACTCTGTAAATCATTAGCGTGTCAAAGAACTTATAAAAGAAGAAGAAAAAAAAAAAAAACCTGCCACATTTTTCCCTAGTCCTTGCTCTTCTGGTAAATATTTACCATGTAAACCCTCTACTTGACAGGTGCTCATATAATGTTGTACATAGAATCCATACTTCCAGAAGGGCACCAATGCTCTGCAAACTTACCATTCTTTTAGTTTTTGAACTAAGACGGTTTATTTTTTATCTACCTCCTGGAATAAAAGCCCTGATTTTACACATAAACATGCATTACCTTTAGGTGTTTTTGCAGTAAATTCAGGATCAAAACAAAAAGTATCATCTGGTTTTCCAGAAGCAGGCTTAAAAGGAGGTTGAACTTCTCTTTTATATAATTTCTAGAAGAAACAACAGGATAATAGAAAAACATATTAAGATTTTAAAAAAATTATTATACTTTGTAAGGTAAAGCAGAATATTCACAGTCCTTAGTAAAAGACTCATAATTCCATAAAAGAAATTTCAACAGACTTCAAATATCTGTTAATAAAATTATAAAATTTTGAGAGATAATGTCCAAAATCTATTAAGGCCACTAAACACAGCAGCAACGTCACAAGTTGCATTCACAAAAGATAATGATGTTCAATTTTGAGTATCAAAAACTGATTTGAATTCTCACTGATAATATAACCATACAGAATATATTACAATGTTACCATACAGAAGTAACTAATAATGCTCAAAACAAATAGACTATTTTCAAGAAATATATTTCAACTAAAATATTTTGTTTTCATATAAAATATACATTGAATGTACTGTTTAGGGCTCCTATCATAGAGTGTAAAAAATTAATCTTGTCTAACAATCTAACTTGCTAAAATTGATATTTTTTTGAAAGACATAGAGAATATCTGTAGTCTTGTCTAACAATCTAACTTGCTGAATTGATATTTTTTTGAAAGACAGAGAATATCTTATATGAAAGTCTTCTTTGTTGGGAAACCCACTTTTTGAAAAGTTCATGGTCCTACAGTGGGGAAAAACAAATCAGGAATTACATTAAAGCAATTTTCATTCACTTAAATACGTAAACATTCCACTGACTTGTTATTTAAATTAAAAACAATGAACATATTTACTCATCAGTTTTTTACTCATATTAATATAAAGTTATTCAATGACAAACTATATACTCAACTTACATTCCAGTCAATATTTGCAAAAAAAAGATGTCTTTTGATTTCTTCAACACCTTCTGACCCTATAAAAATGGAAATAATTTTTTATTGGTATGATTTCTTTTAATCTTGCTTCCTGGCTTTCAAGCTAGCTGTAACCAAAAGTATATATATTTCAAAGATTCCTTGAAGTGAACAGTCTATGATTTCTTATATGGCATTTTATTAATTTATCCTTTCACTTTGCTATGATAAAATATGATGTTCGTTTTTAACTACAAAGGGTATCATGAAATACTAAAGTATCTCCCAAATGAAATCAAAATAATGTTGAACATAACATTAACATTTAGGATATTTTCTTTTATTTATAACTTATATAATTACCTCATATTTATATGCCAAATTAGAAAGTACAAAGGAATAAAGTGACATTGAAATGTTAACATAAGGACATAAATAGGATAATAGGATCATATCTGAACCCAGGGAAAGGGTACCAGAAAGTGGTCAAAAACCAAGCAGTTATAGAAACACAATATTTAGTTTAAAGACTATTGGGATAGACAAAATAATTATATTCAAATATCTAAAAAGATTACCCATACAAGGGAAAGTTCTGTGAATTATTTAAAAATAGGTGATCCATATTATACACATAATAATATATGTTAAACAAAAATTTTAATTAACTAGACTACTTAATTTTTAAATCATGGATATAACAGAGTTTACTGCTTCTGGAATGCAAACACAAAATGAAAAATTCCAGGTATAAACATATAGCAGCAGTAATCAACTTAAATTAAACCATAATATATAAAGATATAATTATTCTCCCAAAACATGTAGTATACTGATATAAAAGCTAAGAAAATAAATACCCAATCTATTTGCTGGATTCCTTTTGAATAACATCCTTAGAAGACTTTGTGCTTCAGGACTAAGAAACTGAGGCATTCCAAGTTTTGCTCTGGAAAAGAAAAGTTTAGAAAATTTCACTTAAATCTAGCCACATTTCTAACAATGGCAAGCTATTTCATGTCTTGTCATGTCATGTCTTCCCTTGTCATATCAAGGGAAAGAGTGTAAAAAATGTTCTTTTGTGTCAATTTAAAATAATAATAAATTTCTCAAAATAAAAAGCAAAAGATTTTTTCCCAAAAGAAAAAGATAGCACTTATACTTACTTTAATATCATATTCATGGTCTCATTTCTGTCTTTACCTTGAAATGGCAGAGTACCAGTAAGCATTTCAAACTATAACAAACAAAATTAACACATAGTCAATTTAGCATAAAACTTAGAAAATATAATAAAATTATTTAGAAAAATACATGAGACTTGTACTGCATGATCATCAAATCATGCAGGATCTACACGATTAACAGTGAGTCAAAATGGAACCAGAAAACTCGGTCACTTCAGGACATATACTTCTGGTACTCCCACTATATACATAGCTCAACTGATAGATGACCTGTAGCAGATGAAACCAATTTATTTCAGTTCTAATTTGGCTAAATTCCCAAAGCCAAAGTAATTTGAAAATACACACAAGACATTTTGTTTTAAAACAAAGATATACTTTTAAAGCAAATGTCTAATAATAAAGGAAAAGGAAAAATAAGCACAAAACCCTTTTAAATGTATACATGCTCAAGAAAGATTTAACCATTTTCATTCTCCCTATTCCTCAAAAAATAGGAACTAAAAAAAGAGCAGCAAAAGAAGCAGAACACACACACATTTGCCAATACCTTCAAAAAAGAAAAATATTGAGACAGTTGTACATAGCAGAAGGAAAACATTTTCCCAATGAGATCTGACTGCAATGCAGATAACTAGAACATTAAATGATGGTATAAAAATAGGTCTAAAAATAAAGATCATAATAGCTCATTAAAGATAATTTTTCATATTTCTCATATTTAAGTCTCCAACTCAGTCTCAAAAAGGCTTTGGACTCAATCCTTTACTCATATATCTAAATTCACAACCTAAGTTAGCTTATCCATTCAATTCTCTCCTGTATCTTGATGACTCCCAAATCTGCTGCTCAAGCATTAATCTCTCTCAAGCTCCAGTTTTCCTTCCAGAATCTTTAGTAATGGTACGCCACCAGAGACTAGAGGGGTAGAGGTTACAGTGGCAGGGAGAGAAAGAAGAGAAGGATAGTGTATCGTAATCACACTTTCCCTCAAAGAAACTAAAAGTTGAGTACATATAGCAATATGGTCGTCAAATGATTCTGATTCTCTCTCCACTGCCCCTGCTAATTTATCACCACCCAGGATTTAGCCACTAAACTATAGTAACCTATGCTAACTGTTAAAAATAAATTATTTCCCGCTTCCAGAACCAGCTGTCCTCAGCTCTCTCTTTACTATTAACCTGCCATTGTTTCAATAACCTAAAGTTTATAAAATTTTAGAAGTATCTTAATTTTTGACCCTTCCCCTCTGTTTCACCTGTGTCATATAATCTGTTACTAAGGTTAGTCACTTCTTCTTTTTAATGTCTTTAAAGTTTCCTCTTTTTTTTACTCTTAATATTACGACTGTTTTATAAGAAGACATTTTCGTTCTTCCTGCTTCTAGTTTCTTCTATTTTCAATCCATTTATATAATGCTGCCAAGGCTAATCTTTCTAAACTACAATGTTTTTAATCGCCATCCTGTTTAAGAATCTACAATAGCTTCATAATAGCCAGAGAATTACATGCAAATGCTTATAGGTTTATAGGTTCACTTCCTCCACCTTTACCCTCATTCTCCACTACTCTAGACAAACTGGTTCTCCAAGCCTTTGCTAATATAATCACAATACTCTCCTTCTTGACATGAAACTATTTAAATTTTATCTATCCTTCAGGGCTTAATTTAAGTTCTGACTCCTCCAGTTTTCCTACATCAACTTATACATTAAGTCTTCTCCGAAGTCCTAAGCTGCTTCTTGACAGTTTATTAAGCTACACCAATTGCTTCCCCACCAGACTGTATACTTTCTTGGGTCTTGGAAAATGCCAAATACTGTACTTTGAATCAGTTCCCATCCCACAGCCCTCCACAAATGCCAGGCTTATAATAGGAACTTAATATACTGATGTGTCATACAGTGTGCCATTCAGTGATAAATGGGCAAAATGAATCAGACCTCCCGTACCACTAGGGAATTGGACACGCTTGAATCTCTGGCATATCGGGGGGCGAGGGGAGGAAGGGAGGCAGGAGGAGGGGCAATATTTGTAACCTTATCGATATTTGTACCCCCATAATATGATGAAATAAAAGGAAGAAAAAAAAATGAATCAGACCTCAAAAGCAAATTACGTCTGATTCAATAGCTATTCATGTATCATCCTACTGACTATTGCAAATGCTACACTGTAATTTCATACCAAATTAGTCAGTCTGTATTAAGCATCTATTATATGCTCACTATGCTAGGTAATGTGGGAAATGAAAAGTAGTATAAAACATGATTCCTTTCCTCAGGAGGATTATAATCTTTCTAGGGCATGTTTGAAACTATCTGACAATAAGACATTATCTAGTAAGATGCTAAATTATGTGGTAGCTAATTAAAATGTCATATAACTGCTAAACTCAGCATTCTGAAACCTAAAATCTGACAGACCTTTTTCTAAGGTTCAAATATGAATATTTTATATAACAATGCTGGAATTTACATTTTCACTACCAAATTTAAAATAAATCAGAACACCACAACCCTAATTCTCATTGTACAGCAGCTATCCAATCACAAGTTTTTAAATGTTAATCATGAATTTTCAGAACCCATTTCTTACCTAACTCATTCCCAAATTTAAATTAAAATAAAATTCTAAGTAATAGGATTAGTCATATCATATATTGGCATAAAGAAGAAAAATAATGCTACTTACCATAAGTACACCATATGACCACCAGTCAGCACTCTGAGAATGGCCTCTCCTATTTACTACTTCAGGAGCCATATATTCCACTGTACCACAAAATGAGTAGGCCTTCTTTTCTTGATCTACTGACTCCTTGCTGAGTCCAAAATCTATAACAGTATCACAAAAAAATATATCTGAAAAACTTCAGAAAATAGAAAACATACAAAAACCCCAAAATGATATATTAAAAATTAAAACTATTTATGGATGGCCTACAATTATTCTTAAGAAAATCCCTGTGAGACCAATAATGGAAAGCAGTCTGTATATCATAATGATACTCTTTAAGAGCATTTAAAGGTTGCTCAGTTAAATCTTATCCTCCAAATACATGCTTTCAGGTCTGTATTAGGATATCATGCAACAATTTTGATAGAACAACAATTAAATCAAAGTTGTAATATTGATCTAAGTTTTAAAATAGACTGAAAAATCAAAGCTAGAACCTTATAATTTTAAAATATTAAAAAAGCAAATTTTGCTTTGGTTTTGGTGAGCGTCCATTTTTGTTCAAAGCCTTCAAAGAGCTAAAAGTATCAATATATATAAATCAATCTTATTTCTATATAGTAGCAATGAACTAAAAGATGAAATTTAAAAAGTAAATTTATAATACCACCAAAAAAACCAAAACATGAGATCCATATTTATAAATATATAATCACAAGTATAAATATACAAAATGTATGTAAGACTTATATGTTGAAAACTAGAAATGCTGATGAAAGAAATCAAAGTAGATCTAAATAAAAGGAGAAATATACTGTGTTCATGGACTGGACGATTCAATGTTGTTAAGATGTCAATTCTCCCAAAACTGATATATAGATTCAATGAAACTTCAATAAAAATCCCAGCAAGATTTTTTTAATAAAAATCAACAAGCTGATTCTAAAAATTGTATGAAAAGGAAAAGAAAATAGAATAACCAAAACAATTTTGAAAAAGAAGAAAAAAAGTTGAAGGACTTACACCTGACTTCAAGACTTACTATAAAGCTATAATAATCAAGGCAGTAGGGTACTGGAGAAAGGCTAGACATATGTATCGATGGTACAGAACAGTATCCAATAATAAATAGACTAACATATATAGTTATTTATTCTATAATGCTTATTTTGAAAATGTAAATTTGTTCCAATGCAATCATTATATAAGCAAACAATTTGAACAAAACACAAATTTCATGTTGGCTTATATGCAATTTTATCTGCAAGAAACAGGCAGTGAACACAGAAAACTGCACCTGAGCTTAGTCAAGTAGAAATAAATATAAAGCACACATGCACATACCTCAAACATCTACCAGCTACTTCAGTTCATTGTGTTTGTTACTAGCCATTCCTGTCCACCTCCATTGTTACAACTTTACTTCCAATTTCAGATAATCTACCTTCCACTACTTCATTATAATTTACAAACTGCAACTTTTCTGACACCCACTTCAACAAGCAAACTTCAGGTCTTTTTCAAGGTAAAGTACCATAATTATTGCAGTCTTTATATATTTATCATTTATAACATGTAAAACAGGGCTATCATTTTTACTAGCTTTCTTTTTTAGTGTTTCACTTACTAAACATTTTGATGTTACACCATTACCCCACCTTTCAGATATGCCCTGTGCTTTTTAACTATGATATTTTGTATAGTGCAGTGATTAAAATCATATATGTCACATTATAACATAACTGGCTGTGTACTGTCAATTGATTTGTGACAAAAGTACAAAAGCAATTCCATGAAAGGACAGTTTTTTCAACAAATGGTGCCAGAACAAATAAGGTATCTATATGGAAAAGTCTATCCTCATGCCATAAGCAAGTATTAACTCAAAATGGATCACAAACCAACATGTAAAATCTAAAACTAAGAAAAACATAGGAGAAAAGAAAATACAGGAGAAAATCTTTTCAGGTAGGGATTTCTTAGGTATATCAAAAGTATAATCCATAAAAGAAAAGAGTTGATAAACTGGACTGCATCAAAATAAAAAAAAAAAAGTTCTTCAAACAATATTGTTTAGAAGATTCAAAAAAAGATACAGACTGGAAGAAAATCTATGCAAATCACATATCTGATACAGGACTTTTATTCAGAGTATATTAAAAAACTCAAAATACAATAAGAGTATGAACAATCCAATTTTTAAAAAGGGGCAAAAGATCTGAACAGATACTTCTCCAAAGAAATAAACATGAAAAGATGCTCAGTGTCATTAGTTATTGGGAAAATACAAATCAAAACAATGATGAGATCCACTTCATGCCTATTAGAATAGCTAAAATAACAACTACTGACAATATCAAGTATTGATGAGGATTCAGAGCAAATGGAGCTCGCATACATTACTGGTGGGTATGCAAAATGGTACAACCACATTGGAAAAGAGTTCGCAGGTTTCTCATTAACTTAAACACACTTACCATATGACCAAGTAACCCCAATCCTTAGGTATTTATTCAAGTTAAATAAAAATTTATGTTCACATAAAAACCTGTACATGAATGTTTATAATGGCTTTATTCATCATCGCCAAAACCAGGAATCTGTGGTACCACCATTAAATGGAATACTACTTAGCAATTTAAAAATGAATCATTGATATACACACAATGATATGGACGAATCTCAAATGTACTATGCTTAGTAAATGAAGCCAGACTCAAAAGGCTATATATTGAATGCCTCTGTTTATATTACATTATGGAAAAGAAAAAAAATATATAGGGTCAGAAGGTAGAGTGGTGGTTGGTTTGGGGTAAAGAGAATACTAACTTTTAATGGGAAAACTTTGGGGTTAGGGAACTGTTCTATATTTTTATTTTGGTGGTACTTACAAGACTCAGCATTTGTGAAACCTTGTAGAACTACACACAAAAATGTTTTTTTAAATTAAACTTTATATTTTGAGGTAATTGAAGATTCACATGCAATTACAGCAAATACTATAGAGACCCCATTTACTCTTTACTCAGTTTCTCCCATGGTAACATCTTACAAAACTGTAGTATGATAACACAGCCAGGATACTGATGTTGAGGTGGTCAAGATACAGAATAGTTCCACCACCAAAGGGTATCAGAAGGATGAATTTTACTGTATGTAAATTATACCTTAATTTTGAAAATAAAAAAGTTGTAAGCCCTATTTTGCTCTTTTGCAATAAAATACCACCATTAGCACTTAATTTTAGGGCCCCTCAAAACTTAATTTCTAACCATGCTCAATATTTTCATTTTAAAAATAACTTATCCTTGTATAATAGCTTAATGCATTATAACTTTCAGTATAAATTTTAAAAATCTTTTCAATGTGCCACTATGTGTTTTTCTCCATATTTTGAGACTTCTACCTCTATACATTTCATTTAGCAAGTTAAATGTAGGAAGAGCTAGGCTTCAAGATCAGTGCAGCTGAACATAATATAGTTTGTAGAGAAGAATACTGGCTTCTCTGACCATTCTAGAGAGAAAGGAGAAAAGATAATTTTCTTATCCTTCCGTTACCTTTCAGAGATTTATGCCAATCCGTAGAGTTTCTTTACTGTACTATTTATGACAAAACTGATATTTTAACCTTAGGATTTGCTCAGCAATCAATTCAGAAATATTTTACAATTATAGAACTAGCTACAAGATTAAATAAGACATATGTTACACCAAACAACTAATTTAAAAATAAAATAAAATGTAGTTAAACAGAAACTTTTCTAAAGAAGACAGAAGAATGGCCAACAAACATATGAAAAAATGCTCAACATCCCTAATCATCAGGGAAATGCAAATCAAAACTACAATGAGATATCACTTAACTCCAGTGAGAATGGCCTTTATCAAAAAGTCTCCAAATAACAAATGCTGGCGTGGATGTGGAGAGAGAGGAACACTCCTACACTGCTGGTGGGACTGCAAACTAGTTCAACCTCTGTGGAAAGCAATATGGAGATACCTTAAAGCGATACAAGTGAATCTACCATTTGATCCAGCAATCCCATTGCTGGGCATCTACCCAAATGATCCAATGACACTCTACAAAAAAGACACCTGCACTCGAATGTTCATAGCAGCACAATTCATAATCGCAAGGCTGTGGAAACAGCCCAAGTGCCCATCAATTCAAGAATGGATTAATAAAATGTGGTATATGTATACCATGGAGTACTATTCAGCTCTAAGAAACAATGGTGATATAGCGCATCTTGTATTTTCCTGGTTAGAGCTGGAACCCATATTACTAAGTGAAGTATCCCAAGAATGGAAAAACAAGCACCAGATATATTCTCCAGCAAACTGGTATTAACTGAGTAGCACCTAAGTGGACACATAGGTACTACAGTAATAGAGTATTGGGGAGGGGGGGTATATACATACATAACGAGTGCTAGGCGCACCATCTGAGGGATGGTCATGCTGGAGACTCAGACTTGTGGGGGGAGGGGGGAAGGGCATTTATTGAAACTTTAAAATCTGTACCCCCATAATATGCCGAAATAAAAAATAAATAAAAAATAAATAAAATGTAGGATTCAACTATATATAGTAAAGGGTTTCTTTGGGGAGAGGGGTGAGGGGTGGTATTTTTATATCTTTGTAATCTTAAGTAACTATTTTATAAGGCTTTAAATTTTAAAAGCACACCCAGAACACAATAATTTGATGAGTATTTACTATAAGTAATCTCAGTGATTAATTTGTAAGTAGTCATAAAGACTACTTAAAATTTTTTTGTTGTGTACATATTTTCATCTTAAATACTCAGTTCAAGTATGGTTTGATTTACATTTCTGACCACTGTACATTTGTTTCTTCCCTCTATTTACAGACATTACCCCTGAATTATATCCCTCAGAGAACACACTATAGCAACCATGGACAGTTCAAATCAATTCTGTTTTCAAGTTATAGTTTTTAACAAAATATTAAATATCTTTCATAAACAGGCAAGTCATATTATATAGATTTTATATAGACTATGGGAGGGATGAAGAGTTCAGGAAAAATTAACTATTAAGGACATTATAAATAACATATTAGCAAATATGCAGATACTTAGAGGTATCCACTCATTCTACTGACCTTTTGCTATACAATCATAATCTCAGTATGAGGCCAATCAGGCTCAAAACACAGTTATAGCAGGAACCTTCCTATAGCCCATTGCCAATCAAGAGTAGCCTGCTAAACATTAGATCCATTCCTTATGTCTGGAGGATTTCTAAATTGGACAGGTGAAAAAAAAATAGTATTGCCATTTCCCTAAGATTATTCTGAGAAAACACAGGATGCTGGGGAAGACCCTGCCTATATGAGAGATTCCTAAATCACTGCGGCCCATACACAGCCTACTAGTATCAATGACAAATAGAGATCAGTCTGGTACTTTTGACTATAATATTAAAAATGGAAGGAAGGAGATAAGAAGAGAAGGATAGGAGGGAGAAAAGATACAAAGAAGTTAATAATGGAAGAAAAATGAAAGAGAAAAAGAGGAAAATAATAGAAAATAAAGGAAACAATGAAAAAGAATGAAAATGAAAAAAGTTTTATAATACTTTCTGTGAATGGTTATACTTCAACCAATCTCACTGGAATACTGTAAGGTTAAATCCAAAAGTTTACTTACTTATTCTAAAACCTTGAATTAGGTTATAACCATACTGAAAGTTACCTAATATTTACTATTGTTTACTTTGTACCATTGTAAGTAAAATCGATTGAATTGTTTTATATATATATATATATATATATGAAGCACATTTTCTTCTTGTTGCATGCCTTGTGGCTTGTTCAGCATAACACCCTTGAGATCCATCCAAGTTGTCTAGCATCTAAAAATTCTTCCCTTTTTATTGCTGAGTAGTATTCTATTGTATGGAGGTATCACAGTTTGGTTATCCATACACCCTTTGCAGGACATCTGGGTCATTTCCAGTCTTTGAACATTCAAGTATAGGTTTTTGTGTGAACACAGATTTTTATTTCTCTGGGATAAATGCTCAGGAGTGTGACTACTGTATGGTTCTATTTACATAACACTCTCAAGATAACAAAATTATAGAGATGTAAAACATACAAGTGGTTGCTAGGAGTTAAGAAAGGGGAAGATAGGGTGGCACTATGTTTCAAACATGATGACTACTTATCATAAATCTTTCCATCTAGACTAAAAGTAAGATGATATATTTCTATCTAGAAAACTAAATGCCATTTCTTAATTAGGATACATACCTCCATTGTATACTTTTTAATATTATAATTACAATGTATTGATAGCTATATAACATTTAAATTAACTTTAGTCCACTAAAGAAACAAATATTAATAAAATACAAATCAAATCAAGAAAGAGAAAAAAGAAAACAGGCTTAAACGTGTGTGTGTGTGTGTGTGTGTGTGTGTGTGTGTGTGTGTGTGTGTATTGAAAAACACAAAACGATTGGCTTAGGGAATAATAAGAAAATGTGCATACCTGTTAACTTGATATGTCCTATTTCATCAAGCAAAATGCTGTAAATCAAAATTCACATTCAACAAGATGGAATAAAATATTTTGTACAAAATATTTACATAAAAATAATAAACTTAGATATATTAGGAAAATTTAAAATGATTAACTTAAAATCAATGCATGTCTTACAAAGAATAGTTTTTACAAATAAGTATCATTTAATTAATACAAAATTTCATATAATATTTAAAAGACTTAATGAAGTATGCCAAAAAGTACTTCTAGAAATCCAGACAACAGGAATACAGAAGGAGAATATAGCTTTACTTTTCAGGCTTCAGGTCTCTATACACAATTCCTAATCGGTGCAGATGATCCAAAGCGAGGGCCAGTTCTGCAAGGTAGAATTTCACGTCTTCCTCTGTAAACAGAACCTAGAATAAAATAATGATTTCACATTTGGTCTCTCTTCCAATATTGAGTATATTTAAAATCTATTTCTTTAAAAACCAGTAGACATATAAATCTAGGCAAATAAAAAGACAAAGAGCATAGCAAATTCTTATTTGACTGGCATGATTATTGGGGAAGTAACATTTCTATACAGATGAAACTAATCTCTTTAAGAATACTTTTCTTCACACTTACAAGGAAGAACTAGTACCTATCTTGCAGAAACTATTCCACAACATCGAGAAGAACGGAAACCTTCCCGACACCTTTTATGAAGCGAATATTACTCTGATACCCAAACCAGGAAAGGATGCAACAAAAAAAGAAAACTATAGACCAATATCCCTAATGAATATAGATGCAATAATTCTCAACAAAATCTTAGCTAACCGAATCCAGACGCTTATCAAAAAATTAATCCATCACGACCAAGTGGGCTTCATCCCAGGGATGCAGGGATGGTTCAACATACGTAAATCTATAAATGCAATTCATCACATAAAGAGAAACAAAAACAAAGACCACATGGTTCTTTCAATAGATGCAGAAAAAGCTTTTGACAAAATTCAACACCTTTTCATGATACAAACACTTAATAAAATAGGCATAGAAGGAACATACCTAAAACTGATACAAGCCATATATGACAGACCCATAGCCAACATCATA